AGAATATCTTCGACGCCCCGGTAGATTCCCCACATCAGGTACCACGCCGTCTGGATAGTTATTGTTCTCTCAAGGCTTCCACAGAAGGTCTCTCGGTCAGCTGAGCCCCACACAGCAATTCCGCCTTCGACCTATCTCTGGTGTCCTGAACATTGAAGGATAGCTTCAAGGAAATCTTCAACTCTGGCGAAATATTCCGTTTAACTTGAACGGCCTTGGTGATCAGAACTGTCTCAATGAGATGTTTGTGGATGGGTCGGTCGCCTTCCAGCTCACACGGCTCTTACCTTCCTGAGAAACTGAAGATTGGATATAAATTTCAATGTTCTTCATTTCTCTCCGTGTTACAGATCTACTTGGTTTTATTGCAGAATCACGAAATAAAACGTATTGTGGTGTAGTCGTTACTAGTTACCTATTTCTTGTCATTGGCATTACTGCAATGTCACTTGGAATATTAAACCTCCAGAGATGCTGACACCTACAATAATGGGAATTCCCCGTACACACGAGACTAAGAGATCCATTATTACACAATATACAATTGTATAACATTTGAACAACGCTTATTAATGCAATAAATGACTTAAAAGTCCGTGAGCGCCAATCTTTTATTGTGAACGAACAAAAAACATTTGCTGAGCTTTCGGAGAAGTCACCTTTAAGTTAAGAAAGATGACACTCATAACATACCATCTTAGTGTTAGAGGTTAAAGAGAATTCTCCGAAAGCTCTTCAAATGGTTGTGTTCGTTTACATAAAGTGTAAAAAGACCAATTTCTTAACCCTCAATATTTTAAAACACAGAAATGTGAATAAATATCAATGTTGAAATGGGTTTTGAAGGTTTTTCTTTTTCAAATTTAGGCTGTAAATATCAATGCTACGCCAACCTACACATGCAAACAATCTTGGTAAAATAATCGATGTTTCCTTATGTTTATAATCTGTAATTAAAATTGTGCCTTATCATAATATATATATATTTCACACACACACACATATTCATTGTGAAAAATTCGTTGCCATTTTAAAGACTGCTCAAGTTATTTATTGTTATCTTAAACAAGGCTGTAGCCAACATTTTAAATATCGCTGCTACATGGCGGAACATGGTCCAATCATCTTCCTAAATGGGCTGAGTTTTGCTATATCAAATACTGAATGAAGTTTAACTGTATTTCCCTCAGTCCCCCACCGAATCTTTCAACCGGAATATTTCATTGATTTCCCATCATTGTGGATTCTGTGAGGTTCTTTGCCACAAGGAGGTAATTGAGCCACTCCACGATCTCAACCCGAGCTTTGATCTTAACATTTATCATTTAATTAGTTATTCCTTCTGTGTTTTAATGTTTCATTTGTGGTCAACAATGATCTCAGATGTCGTGGAGATGTTTACATTTGAGATTTGACCAGAGCTTTCTCCTACTTAATTATGTGGTCGTAAAAACTGTTTGTTACTTCTGGCTCTGCTGTGCTTGAAGACTGCGCCATATTTATAATGAAATAAAAACCTTTTCCAAACCAATGTCGCAGGTTTTGATTTTTAGATGTTCACATCTTTTAAATATTAAAGAAATCATCGCAATTCTTTTCAGTAAGTTTCCTGCCTTGAGAAGAGTCATTCAGGAGCCAAACAAAAATGGACAGGAAACTCGATACTGGGTGGTACCCCGTGATCTAAGCCCTGTATACCAGGTAATACAGGAAGGTAAATTATAGGTGTATTGTCCTCTCAAGTATAGGAGGCTGTATTTAGAAAGATAACTGAAATGCATTTCGTCTTTTATTTCAGACAAGAGGCAAGATATCTTCGAGAGGCCACCTTGTCTCAACGAAATTATCTCAATAGATCCTCTTCAGTCCTCAGTCTTCAAATGTCTTCTACTGTTCCTCCCAATGGATTGTTTCAATCTAGAGCATTGTGCGGATGATATTTGTGACGAAGGTTTTGTCCCGGGATGTAGTAACGGGTAGTGTTCCCAGCACGACATCTGTGATGTTGGGAAACCCCGTTTACAGCATTCGGCCGAGTTCCTCCACGCTCAGTACTTCCTGCAGTGTTTCTCTCACGTTCGTTCATAAACACATCAACTAGGGTCAGTTGACACTACATAGGACTTGTTGGCATTTTCATAATGCAATATATTGAACTATTGTACTATGCAGTATTGTTGAACTATTGTACTATGCAGTATTGTTGAACTATTGTACTATGCACTATTGTTGAACTATTGTACTATGCAGTATTGTTGAACTATTGTACTATGCAATATTGTTGAACTATTTTACTATGCACTATTGTTGAACTATTGTACTATGAACTATTGTTGAACTATTGTACTATGCAATATTTTTGTATTTGCATCTAGATTTGTTTGGAATCTCGGTTTTATTGTGCCTGAGATTTATTAGCATTGTTCACCTAACGTGTCGTCGCTTTGTGAGGTTCTTTATCCGGATTAGTGAAAATATGCAAATTAACGGTATCAGAACACACATGCGTTCTTGTTTAACCTTCTCGGTATAATACTGTCCTCTTCGAGCGCAATTTCACTCGTTTGCTCCTGCAGTGCATTCACTTTACATCATATATTTATTGATAGATATATGCAATTAGGGTTGGTTGTCAAGCCCTTTTCTTAC